AGCGGAAGGAAAATGGCCCGAGAGCTCTTTTCCCTTTTTAAAAAAGAAACGATTTTTTTTTTTTTACTCTTTTATCACTGAAAATAAGATGACTTGCAGCTAGGCTCTGGGTGATACGGGGAAGTGTTATTTTTGGAGTAGTTTGAAGTTGAATTATTAAGCTTAAATGTAGATTATTGTTGTGCTGGGTTTTTTTAATTGTGGGAAGCGACTTCAGAGTAATGTTGGAAAGTCTTTAGAATTAAAGCACTATGTTCTGAATTTTTTTTCCTGTCCGACGTGATAAGGCTGGACACGAGCCAGTGTAGGAGGCACAGATCACAGGGTACAGAGATCATAAGCTAGCCCCGGTTGCTGAGAAAGCAGCCATAGTGGGCCTTGTACTCTGCTTATTGTGAGGGACTTGGTGAATTCCTTCCAACCTGAAAATCTTGCTAATGCTAGAGTTGAGAGGAAGAGTTAGAACGCTTTCATATGTAAGATCTTGCCATCTCATACTGGACGGGGGAGGGAGAAGTTGATACGATGTGAGATCTTACATCAGTTAAAAGGTGAGGTTTTGGTTTGGTTTTAGTGTGGGGTTTTTTTTTTTTGCCATTGCAAGGTTTTCCTTTGATTAGCTGTTTCCATAGTTAGCAGGGATGTAATTTGTGGGATGTGATTGATTATTACTTTGGCAAATAAGTTCAAGTGCTACTTTTTACTGGTGTAGCAGGTGGAGCTGTGACTCCTGACATTTGGTAGCTTAGGTGTGTGCGAAATTTTATTTTTCTGGATGATTTTGTAGAATGTAGCTGACTCTGCCTTTCCTCTGAGAACCCAGGATATAATCCGAATAATCAAGTATGGTGAAACCTGTTGCAGTGAACGTGCTTGAGGGATAAGTTTACCTTTTGTTAGTTGATGCTTCAATAATACTTGAGACAAACTAATTAAAAAGAAGTGGTAGCGTGCTGAACTGTCTACTAAAGAAATAGCTGTTTTTAATAACCTATCGTGTATAATTATGTTCTAAAGCCATGAGAGTAGGCTGCAGTTCTCTGCTTTGATGCTTAGCGCTTACACTAGTAAGCACTGTATGTTTAGTAGTATTTCAGTTGTTCTGCCCTTCAGTAAAGAGAAACTTCGAAGGAAGCAATTTGGTGAGAGAAGCTTATTAGAAGTATGTCCTGGTGAGCTCTTTAAATGTTTCAGAACTCTAGGATTTTTTCTATTGTATTTCCTGTTAACAGTTCTAAGGTGAATAGGATGAAAGAGCCTTTAGTGAAGCAGAAGAATCCAGATGGTGAAAACCAGTGGCCTTTTCTTTGCCAAAACCTTGTGCCTACTGAGTAAGCTTTAAAGAGCCTCTTAATTCACGGGACATTTTGATTGCAACAGCAAGTGTTGATTGCAACAGCAAATGCAAGATTGAATGCTGTATTTGTCTTGCTTAACTCTGTCCAAGAGGGAGAGGTACTTTCCTCTCTGTCCCTTGCTCTTTAGCCCAAGATAACTTTGCCTTTCACACCTGGGAGGACTTCTGAACATGAGAGACTGGAGAAGAGGAAAGCAGGAAATAATATACCTCTGTGACAACTTATGCTACCACTTCATGTACTGAGCTCAGCTGAGGCTTTCTTTAGGAAATACTAAATTTAGCAATTTGATGTATTAAGAGATAAAAACAGGCTTTATCTTTGGAGAGTGATCTAAGTTCTTACCTACGCTTGAAAATCGTTAGGAGTTTTTCAGCCATAGAATGTTTTCCTTAGACCTTTTCCTGTTATTGCTAGAGTTAACATGTAGTTATGGCACATGTATTAACTAATGTATTTAATATAACATGGAAACAAGGCTATAAGCCAACCTTTCCCCCCATTTATATATTTAAAAAAAATTAGACAAAAAATTTATTTCTCAGAGCTTTTTGTCATGATCAGTGAAATGCTTGTACGACAGTTGTTTTTAATACTTTTGTTTCTGCTTTGATCTAATGTATAACTTTTGCACTGTGGTTGAAGACCAAGCACTGGTGTATACTCTGAGTTACAGCACAGTCCTGATGCTCTGTCTTTGTATGATTCTACAAAGTGCAGTTGGGAAGATGTAGCAAATGTAAGAGTAGTAACCAGAACTTTTAGTCACTTCTTACTACATCTCTCTAGGGTGAATCCAGCACTTGTTCCTGGATTATTTGACTTGTCCCATGTGTGAATATGTAGTCCCTAGAAAAATCTAAATAAAAGATAATACCAGATCTCTGGTGTTAGAAACATTATCGGGCTGTAAGGGGTTCACCAAGTCCTTCTCAATATGGAGAGTGCTGTGCTCCTTATGGTGGTTTTCTCAGCATCCAGGACCAGTTTATGATAAAAGAATGATGTCTGTTGATAGGCAAGTATCTTCTTAATGAAAAAGTGATTAGGAATTAAAACCTAAAGCAGTATGTGTGGGCAATAATTAATTGATAAAGAACTGATTACTCTAGATGCTACAATAGTTATTAACTGTATTGTGGGATAATGACATGTTTGTATTTCTGAAAAGAGAATTAGTAACTCTAGTAAAATTTTTATCTGAATTAGCTTTTTTTCATGTTCCACTTAAGCTTGACTTTTGGTCTGACTCCAGATTTTAAATTAAGAGGCTTAGTACACCTTGAAGATTAATGCTTGCTTTATTTTTTCTCCCCCTCCCCTCTATTTCTTTGTGTCATCTATATGTTTGCTACCTTTTTTTTTAACAGGACTTGACAGTGCAACTGTAGTCAAGACACCTGATGTCTTATTATTCCTTTAGAACAGCTGTGATTTAGTACTTATAGGAGTTTGTAAAATTATTTTATGAGCTTTGAGCAAAGTTTCAATTGGGAGGAACTTACTTTTAAAAGTTGGGGTTTTTCCTGGTGCTTGAAAGCCTGAGAAATACCGGCCACACTGACTTATTATTTGTCTATTACCCAATATTTGGATTTCTTAATTATTTTTTTTTTTAACAGTGGACCAACTACATTCATGGGTGGCAGGATCGATGGGTTGTTCTGAAATGCAACACACTCAGTTATTACAAGTCTGAAGATGAAACAGAGTATGGCTGCAGAGGTTCTATCTGTCTGAGCAAGGCTGTGATTACAGTAAGTACTATGCCGTTATTGCCATCTGTTCATGTTTTGAGTTGCTAGATGTTTGTAAATTAATGTCTCGTGAAAGCAAACATAAACACAGCAAATTCTATTAGGTCATCTCTTCTAAAAGTTAGTGGTAACAGTGAAACATGGTGGAGCAGAGCAGGGAGTTTCTAATAAGAAAAGCTCTTCTCATTTCCACCTGAAGTAACTAGCTTTTCTTCTCTTACATTAGAGGTTTATGTGGAGAGGGATACAGTTTGCCTTTGGAGGCTGTAAAGTTTTTGCAGGGTCAGCCTAAGATTCTGGACCAACTTCCCAAAGGAGATACCATCTGTCACAGTCTTTATACTTGGCACCAGAGAGAGAGTAGTAGTTCTCTGACTGTCCTTTCTGCACATGTCTGTAGAACAATGTTCTGCTACATGCTTCCTCCTCTGAACAAGTTAATGTGTTGCTGTTTTTGTCTAATGCTAAAAGAGCTGTCATTACACTAGTAAGAATAAAGAGCCTACATATAAAAGAAATCTAATAAAGATCAATTGCCCTGAAAAGATAAGCCTGCTTTTTGTGGCCTTCAGAATTATATGTGTTAATTATGATTAACACTTGCCAAAAAGCATGCTGTAGCTTTTTTTGTGTAACTGTTAAATAGTCCAGTTATGTGATTTAGGGAACAAATAGCTGGACTTACGTGTAGCACACAAGTTTCTGGGTAATAGAATCTTACTATTTATGTTCTTACTCCACAAAAGTGTTTTTGTCAAACTGAATGACAAATGAGAAATCTTTTTTTTGCAAATACTCAGCTTACAAATACAATTTTATTAACCACAGTTTGGTTTGAGAAATAAGACTATTGATTACATCACCTGTATGCATTTTGGAAAAAAGCTTCAGAAGAAAAAGCAGATTTTAAATTTAGGTGCTTGACAGCTATTGTAGTTATTTAAAAAATAAACCAGACCAACTCATTTATTTTAAAACTCTTTTTCAAACTGCTTAAACTTTTAAAACTTGCACAGTATTTGATTTCGGAATATATGGTGCGCAACAAGACTCTAGGAATTCTGTCTTAAGTGTACTTTTGGCAGTACACAAAGTATTGTAGTCACAGTACCAGCCTCTGATCAGGACTTACAAAAAGGTCTGAAGTTCAGTAGCAAGAGGCTTAACATGCCAAACAGGCAGAGACAGGAAGCTGGTGGCAAGGAGGTAGGCCAAGGGATGTTTAGAAGCATGCTGTGGAGCACATCTCAGCAGCCTGATTTCCATTTGTGGTGATGGAGCAAGAGATTATAGTGATGCTCTTATTGCTTCTGGAATGTTTTGATACACTGAGCTTTGTGAAGTTGGTGAGCTTATCTTCTAGCTAGGAAGCATGTGACACTGGAACTTAGAGATAACTTCTTTCTTCTTCTATCTGGCACTTGTTGCATTGAGTAACTTGAATTGTTGCTTTTTCTTTTTTCAGTTCTTGAGCTTCTTGAGTGCATTGAGAAATAAACTAGAGTTGGAGAAAGAATATAAAGATAATTCAGTATTTTAGTTCCACTTTCATTGAGGCTCATGCTTTCTGAGTGGTATTTGACAGTTTAATTGCTTGATTGTGATTTGAGATGGCGTCTCTGAAACCTAGTAAACTCCTGCTTATTGTTTCTAGATGCATGTAGTAGTTTGGCCCTTACTGGAGGCCAGGAGCTTACCAAAGCCGCTTTATCACTCTCCCGTTTTAGATGGATAGGGAAGAGGGGAAATGTAGCGAGAGGCCTGTGGGTTAGAATAAGAGCAGTTTAATACAGCAGAAAAGCAAAAACTGGTCACGGAAGCAAAGCCAAACAAAGATTATTCTCTACTTCCCATCAGCGGGCGATGTCCAGTCGCTTTCACAGAAAGCAGGGCTCCAGTATGTGTAGTGGTTGCTCTGGAGGACAAATGCAGTCTGCAAATTCCTCCCCCACTTCTCTTTTCTTGCTTTCATATCTGAGCTGATGCCATATGGGATGGAATACCCTTTTGGTCAGTTGGGGTCAGCTGGTCTGGCCATGTCCCCTTCAAGGATGCTCCCCATCCCCAGGCTGCTGTTGGGGAAACCACTCCATGCTGTAGCCAAAACACTGGGATGCTATGAACACCCTTCTAGCTACCACTACAAAAACAGCACTGTGAGAGCCGCTGTGGGGAAAATTAATTCCATCTCAGCCTGACCCAATACAATGCAGTTAAAGTGATTGTCATGTAAGTATTAGAGTTTCAGGAATGCTATTGGATTGCTTCATGTCTCTTAAGATTCAAAAGATTATGTTTGGAACTGTAATGCAATTATTCTATCTCCTATTTTTCAGAAGTTATTCTTCTAAGCCAAAGTTTTAGCATGAATGTTTCTGATTGGATAGTTATTTGGTAGCAAATTGAATATCGTGGCTTTTTAAACCAATGTTTTCAATAAAAAATTATGCTCAAAGGTAAATGTTTAAATGTTCTTCCTGAGGTACATATGTCCTTGTAATGTTTTACTAAATATAAGCTTACTAGAATGTATTTAAATGAATAGAACACTGATAGCTAATAAAATTAATGTAGAGATGATAGTGTACAAAAACTACTTTTGCTGTCAGTGGAACTTCTCGCTGTGTGCTTTGTGAATACTTTGGTAGAGAGGGAAGTCAAGTTTCTTACTGTATTTGTGTTCCGCAGCATTGATTGGATGTGGTTGGATTTTAGTCTTGGATATTTTTCAACAGTCTTTTACTATTCTGTTTAGTTTTCTTGATCTTGCTGATCAAACCAGGCATAGTAACTACCTGTTTCCTAACTTGGTGTATTTTTGTAAGTTGTCCTTCAGTACAAAGCAGGACCTGAGTGATATTGATGGCTGTAATATTTCCTTGTAGGGA